CGCGAAGCTCGGTGTGTTAGCGGCCGTTTCACAGTTCCTGAGTGTCAGCCTGAGTTTCGGGTTGAATCAGCTGTTCTACATAGATGACTGCTGAGGTGGTCTTCATGTTTAGTAGCTGTGGTGTCTGGGTAGGGTAGTTGCAAGAAGAACAGCGTAGATGATTTAAGAGTTACTCACTGTAAAAAGTTTCCTTGAGAGCATAATCTTACTTATACTACTACGTACTTACGTTGCGCCAAGCGTTGAGAAAATGGAAATGATCTTGAAATAAAACTTTGAAATGAGCCTGATCTTGCTTCTACTACTACTTGCATTGCGAAAAAGATCGGTGAGAAAATGGGAATTCATTCTCTTGCTATTTTTAGTTGCGCGGACAGTTATCAATGTATCTGCCCCAACCCACTTGCTAGCGACCCGTAGGGTAGCCTACTGCCGCAGGATTTTTGTTAAGAATTCCTTGTTTTCAAGGCTAAATTTAAAAAAATCCCTAAAATCCACTTCAAGCAAAAATTCTTGTGCTCTCAAAAGCAGAAAAGTAAAAAAGCTCTACAAGAAGAACACCGTAGACGATTTGAGAGTTATCATTGTAAAAAGTTTGCTTGAGAGCATGATCTTACTCTTACGAATACATGCTTACGTTTCCCCAAAAATCGTTGAGAAAATGGAAGTCCATTTCCTTGTCATTTTAAGTTGTACGCAAATAGTTATCAGTGTATCTGCCCTAACCCACTTACTAGCGACCGCTAGGGTCGCTACTGCCGCAGGACATTTTTCCGAACGATTCCTTGTTTTCAAGACTAAGTTATAAAAAAAATCCTTGAAATCTATCTTAACCGCGCCTACTTCGCGAAAATTATGCTTGTGCACCCAAAAGCAGAAAAGCGAAGGAGGCTGGTCTCAAAAGAAGGTTAGTGCCATGGGCTTTACAGCAGGACCTTTTTGCTAGATTATCCAATGGAAAGTTTCAGCGAGCTTTAGTATCGCTATAAAGGTGCCTTCATAGCAGCCTGTAGCCGCAGCTGGCCGCTTTGTCATAGAAGCGCAAAATTATCAAATTCTTGCTATTTCAAGCGCAAACGCCCACGCTTTCCATCTTCCACGCTTTTTTCTCCCTGTTGGCAATTCGATCTCATATATCATACTTGTGGCCATTGCTGTTAAAATCTTGTTGCCGTAGATTGGTTATCTTATTGGTGCTCAGTTTCCCTTCCGCAGTTGAACCATATTTCGCCAAAGTTTCTTTGCGGTGTGATCGTCTGACTTTGGATGCGTCCAGTTTTTGCAGTGTTTATTTTTTATGCATGGTTCTGCTTCAAGTATATCCTTGGCCGGTGCTTATCTTAAATAACTTTGTAATGTGTGAAAGCGGAACTGCAGATTAGCCGCAGAGGGAGGAAAAAACGTGGAAGATGGAAAGCGTCAGCGTTTGCGCTTAAGACAGCAAGAATTTGATGATTTTGCGCTTCTATGACAAAAGCGGCCAGCGGCGGCTACGGGCTGCCAGCGGCTGTCACCGGCTGCCAGCGGTTGCTACGAGCTGCTAGCGGCAGCTGCCGGCGCGGTATGAAGGCACCCTAAGAAATGACCTCATGTATCGGGAGACATTATCAAAATGTAGAGTTGCGCATGATTGCGATGGTCGGTGTGTGCGGCCATTGCCTGAGAAGGATTCCATAAGGTTCCTTCATCCAGTGAACAGTTTATTTTTCAGAATCGTTACAGGGAATCAAAAGCTAACGTATGATTGCGGAAAGGCGTTCAAAAGAAGTTAGAGAACTGAGAGAGCTCTATGCATAAGCAATGGTATACTCGCCGATCTTTGCTAGCATGCAAAGCTCTACGTTGTCGTTCGGGGGCACTTTACGAAATTTGGTCAAAGCCGCTTTGGAAAATTTACATGTCTGGGTTTTTCAGGTACCGGAAGCTTTTGAAAACATGACACAGTTCCTGAAAATGAGCCTGAGTTTCAATTTGTATCATTTCAATGTAAAATTTCACGGGAACTGCTGAACATCTGCTTTGGCTGCTTCTACTTCGTGGAAATTCTACTTTTGCCAATAAAAACAACACAGCAGAGGGAGCTTGTCTTAAGGGTATAAAAGACCTAATGAGTACATGCCGCTTTTGGTATAATTCTTTGAGTTTCAGGCTTCTCACAAAAACATGCTTGGAATCCATTTTGGCCGCATCTACTTCGCGAAAATCGTACTTCTGCCTCAAAAATCAAAAAGAGCAGAGGAGGATTGAAGGGAGGGTAGCTTCAGCAGCTTTATGCGGCAGTGTTTCTGTTGATAATTTCTCAGTTTTAATGCTAAATTATACAGAAGCTCGCTTGAAGTCCACTTTTAACCGCTTTTACTTCGCAGAAATCATACCTCTGCCTCATATAACAAAGGAGCAAAGCGAGAGCTTCTTAGAGACTAGCGCCGTGCGGGCGGCTAGCGACGACCCTACAATCGCTCGTTGGTGTGTGCGATTGTACGGTTGTCAAGGGCCGTTGGCACGGTTAACGTGGGGCGCCCGCACGGTTCCTAATGCTATCCGCTTGCGCGGGAAGGTCGGCCGCTCGCTTGCAGTTGGAGTAAATTTATATGGGATATCTTGACCATTTGTCTTGATTTGTTAATCCTTTTCACATTTTGGGAACATGGGACGATGCCTGTAGCATTGGCCAAACTTTCCATGGGGAAGCTCACGCCATCACTCTTGATGACTGTGGCCTCACACAGGTTCATTCCAGCCTTGCTGGAGAAGGAACTGTTGGTAACAAGTGTCAACGCTTAGCCAGCCTAAACGCTGCGTCGTATCTTATGCAGGTACCGTTTAAGCTCACAATGTGTGAAAATAATGAGCAGAAGGTAGAGGTCACAGTTGGCCGCTTGCACGGCGACAGGTATTGCCGACCGATAAGACGGACGCATTGCTGGCCGCTCGCTCGAGCAACTGTATTGCAGGCCGTTCGCATGGTAACATTGCTTGCCGCTAGGACGGCGCTTCAGCTGTTTGCCGCACGCACGGAAACTTTAAGCTTATGTCGACCGCTTGTACGCTAACCCTTATAGGAGGACCGCTCGCGTTGCGCGAATTCCTGAGTTGGTCTCGAGGGAAGGAAGGCCTAAGGGCTTCATGCAGCAGTGCATTTCTGCTAGGAATTCCAAAAGCTCGCTTGATCCACTTTTGGCCGCCTTTACTTCGCAGAAATCATACCTCTGCCTCCTATAAATGAAGAAGCAAAGCAAATTTGGTTTTGAGGGAAGGTAGGTCCCGAGGGCTTATGCGGCAAGAATGCTAACTTATCAGAAATATTGTTTGAAACCCACTTTGGCCGCTTTTACTTTGCCGAAATCATACTTCTGCCCCCTTTAGCAAAAAAGTAAAGGTAGCTTGGTCTCGAAGGAAAGAAAGTTCCAAGTGCTTCAAGCGGGAAACTTTTCTGCTAAGGATTTCTTAGGTTTGATGCAAAATTAGACAAAAGCTCAATTGATATCCACTTTTGGCCGCTACTACTTCGAGAAAATCGTATGCACCTAAAGGCAGAAAAAGCGAGGGAAACTTGGTCTTAGGGGAAGGAAGGCCCAGAGGCTTCATGCGGCAGGACATGTTTGCTAAGATCGTCCAGGAGAAAGCTTTGAGCGAACTTTGGTGTTGCTTCAAGAAATGACTTCGCGAGGTATTATAAGGAGAGTATAGGACTGTGCATGATCGCGAAGCTCGATGTGTTTGCGGCCATCGCACATTCCTGAAAGTCAGCCTAAATTTCGGGTTGAATCAGCTGTTCTACATAGATGACTGCATTCGGTGATTTCCATTTTTAGGAGCTGGGGTTGAGTATTTGCAAGAAGAACAGCGTATGTGATTTGGTAGTTAGTCGCTGTAAGAAGTTTCCTTGAGCCTGATCTTGCTTCTACTACTACTTGCACTGCGAAAAAGATCGTTAAAATGGGAATTCATTCTCTTGCTATTCTTAGATGCACGCAGACAATTATCAATGTATCTGCCCCAGCCAGTACTAGCGATCCGTAGGGTCGCTAGTTGTAATAAAAGACGAAGCCGTTCGCAATCTAGACCAGGGACAACGATATGAGAATGTATTTGTTTGCCAGAAATTGACTTATTTTACTCAGTAGAAAAAATGGAATTTGAAGAGAAATCGAGATCTGGTGTCCTCACGAATTTGAACGAGTCGCTGTGCACGGATGCTGAGAGGCAGCCGTCAATGTTTGAAATATCGGAATCTTAAAATTCGGTAAGACTTTGCCTAGTGAGGTTATTCGACCTGCCAAACACGAGTACCATATTCATTTGTTAAATCAAAGCCTCTTTTCATGTTCAAGATGAGAGCCTTGCCGTAAAACTACCGTAGTCTCATTAGAAAAGATGCAAACTCAGTATTGTTCTGATGATTTGCATGACAGATAATCCCTCTACACCACGTTTCAGCCAAATCTGTATAATCTTTAATTTTTTCCTGTACCATATATCTGCCGTGACCCTTAATGACAAGACAACACCCGGCAGAACGGTAGCTGCTCTTGTAGCTTCCATCTTAGCTTTCTATATATCAAAATTCGAGTGCTTCAAGCTCAAAGAAAAGAAAATTGGAAAAAAGTTGCAAAACTTTGCTAACAAACTAATAAAAGAGAAGATATGAAAAATGAACAGGTGATCGCTTACTGGCTATCACGTTTCTGTGAGGTACATATAAATTATTCACTAACTCTTCTATATGTTTCCCATGATCGCCAACTCTTAAGAGACTTTATAGCATTTTCCCAATTAGTAAAATTGGTTAAACAGTTGTTTATCTTCTTCTTTAGTTCTTTGAGCTTGCAATGTCGTTGAGATAGGAATTCGAGTGAGCATAGACGCTTTGTAAACAAACCAGTAGGATTTCGATACAGCTCATTCTCACACTTTTTTTGCTGTGATTGACACAAAATAAGCAGCGCAACACTTTATTGACAAAAGTCCATAATATGGCTGCATAACTACTCGATAGTTTACTTTCCTTCAGACCCTCTTAGCGCTGCTTTTCTCGCTCGTTTTTCTTCCCATTTTGGTTTTAATCGCAACCATTCTTTTTGTTCTCGTTCAAAGTGGGCTTTCCTTTGTTCAGTATCATAATCCCTATTGACGTTGATCCCTGTCTCACGTTCTCCCACGATAGGGCTTATTTGTTCGTAAAAAGAATCGTCTAATTCTGCATCACTAGCCTCCGGGATGTCATCGCTTTTCAGATCACTGTCACCGCCTTCTTGACCACGACTACTGTCGCTTGAATCGCCATCTGTGTCTCCTGAACTGGGAGCATTACTCCTTGGATCACTACCTTTTTCGAAACTTCACCTTTGACGCTTCGGCTACCACCGTCCGCTGAATCGTCAAAATTGGTGTCTGTACCACTAACGACTTGGCCTGAACTTCCTCCTTCTGCTTCTTCTGCGACCACTGCATTGTAAACCAGCACCTAAAGCAGTTATCTTTCCAATTTTTGTGCTGTGATGACGATGTTTCAAGACCTAAGCTTTTCATACATTTCCTCACCTGGATGCCAATAAACAGAACGATGTATTTGAGCATGCTTGCTTGACTCGCCCCTGCTTCTTTGCCTTTTATGGAACTCTTCCCAACAATAACTTGAGCCTTAAATTAATATCCCTTGTTAGTAACGCAGCTCTTTACGCAATACTAGTAGTCCTGATACCTGGCTCAATGGACTGGTGGTGCACTTCTGGATTTATTGCCTCCGCATTTGTGCTCCGTAGCGGCGAGTGTTGATGTGACAGAAGACTCATTCCAGAGCTATTTTTGATATGGACTACATTGCCAGAATGATGCTACGGCAGTGACCCTAAACAAGTCGCTTACATCTCTGAACACAAATCACCACTTTCAAAGTTTCCTTGGGTTTCTTCACTTATAATCAACGTGTTCTATTTCACGTCGTACATTATTGCGAAGTTTACCCATCAGTTTTCTGGCCTTACTCTGTGGGCCTTAATTCGAAGCAAATCAGCAAAATTTTTTCGTTTTATTAGTCTTTCTTAGACTTTTTGCATGGGCTGCGTCTTTGTTTTTTTTTGATAGTATCACAAATCACAAAATCCTTTTGCCGCGTTCTAAATATGAAGACCTCAAAACTTGAAGGGAAAGAAAATATAGATAAAACCATCGGTACATCAGTGCCCGTAAGGTAGATATCCACCCATCCAAACAAGTAATTGTTTCAAAGCTTGTATGGGAATCCAATATATTCTTCACTCCTTACACTCAAAAAACATTAAGGAGCAATCTTTCGGAGTTTTCAGGACAGATTGATTTTTTTAATTTCTCGTTGTTCACCATGTTTTATCGGTTATCTGACATCTATTGATGAATGTGAGTCTAGCATTTGTCCAACCAATTTTGATTTTGACTCACTTGAGATTATTTCAAGAAAATTCTATATGTCACGAATTTGATATAGGCACTGAAGTTTAGAATAGCTAAAGATCAAGAGCAAAATAGCAAATAATCATTAGATTAATTTTTGCAAGGACTTTCACTGATCTTCAGCGGAAAGTCAAACAATCAAGGAATTTTGAGTAAATAATGAGTCTTGTCATGGTATGTAAATTTTCTTTTGAATCAAGAAACTGAAACGAAACCTCGGTATGTACGATACGGTTAAGAGGCGGGCTCTTTCGAAAATTTTGAGTCGAAAAACTTTTTCTCTGCTTTTTTCTTTGTTTTGCGACCGTTGGTATAATCGGTATATAGCTAAACGTACTAGCAAGCAAACTTGGATCTGCAGCATTTGGTCCACTCCTTCCACCCTTTTGCATATAATGGAAGATGAATTAGCCCAAGTTGTCACATCTTGCTTTTTGGCTATGTTTTTTCGTAGTAATTCTAGTGGTGGATGACATTGTCTGCATATGATTTGAAAGCTTTTCATCTCATCAAATTTGTGCTTCCTTTCTTAAACTGAAAATCTCCTAGTGGACGTATTATTTTTGGTAACCTTGTCATTACAGAAACTCTTTCTCTTTAAGGAAAGTGGTGGAAGAAAATGAACTTTTCACCATTTTTCTCAAAGAGTAAGAATTTCTCGACTTTTTTAAGAACCAGGAAAAGGGCAGATTGAGAGTCTTAAAGAAAATTTGTAGTCTTTTATGAACGTTACAGTGTCTCGCGAGAATAAATTTACGCACGAATTAAAAAAATCATAATGAGTAAAAAATGATTTTATTTTCTAGCATACCAGTAAATAACGAAAACAGTATCTCTCAACATATTTGATCTAGAAAGTAGGAATTTCTTCCCCAAATGCTCATCTCATTGCTTAACAACACTCAGAGATCGTAGCACGTTTTAGCACGACTGAGGAAAGATTTTTCTTCTGTTTGCAATAGAGGTTTTGATCACTTCGCATATGAAAGGAATACTTATGGATAGGTAGACAGCGTGAAATCCAGATATCTGGAGCTGAAGGATATGAGCTTTCTTCTGAAGCTGCGATCCCCTCCTCAGCGGGGATGTTAGTGCATGCGTCCCTTAGTCTAATGGATGAATTTAGTGTACTTAGCATCGACTCAGCTTGACTCAGGTGAGTTGCATCTTATAATATGCAAAAGTGTTCGTCTGGATACGGTGGGTGTATAGTAGGAAGTCAAATTTGGCGATCTTTCTGAATCTTTTGCTTACGGTAAGTTGTCCAATGTGCTTGCTTATTACAAACTGGGTACTCTACCACAAGCAAGAATTTATGAGACAAGAGCACCTACAGTATCCAAATGGACACCTCTATAATTTTCGTCAAGTTATAAGTCCACTCGCATTTTCCAAGGAGAAATTGAAACATTCTAAGGCTCGAAGGCTGGCCAGTATTAAAGGTCCACCTGGGGTTATTATTTAGTCAAGCACTAGCTAGTTCTCGGAATTTTTTTTTGGATATTGTTCAAAAGTGCCAATTAGTTGCTTTTACCGGGCTCAGCTGTACCTTCAAAGGTCCGATTACTTGCTTTTTAAGCTTATTGGTACGCTGACAGTATTTCGCTTCTGAAGTCTGCTTTGAGTAGAAAATTGTACACCAGCCAATGTGGAAGAGACGGGATTTTATCCACCTTCTGCTTGACGACGTAGGCGGTTGGGGAAAATCTGACTTTTAGCTATTAACAAACTCAACATCGAGCGCCCGCAACTCTGTACTTGAGATCTGCTTTCTTTCTGCGATGTTCTTATAAGCAAGTAGTTTTATTGTATTGTTTGTAATAACAAATTTCGTGTACCATGGTTGAGAAATCTCTACAAGTCCCAGGGAAAACTCAGAGCTTTTCCTTATTTTTCACTTCATTAAGTATCTAGTAAATAGATGGGATTCCAACGCACTTAAACCCAGCCGAGAAACAGATTTTCTACTCAAACACACGTTTTAACAACAAACGCTCTTCAAGTGAAAAAAGCAGATTGTTAGTTCTTGCAAAGGTAAGATAGAGCTTGACTAAAGCAGTTGTTTGACACCAATATGTATCTAACTAACAAGGGAAGCTACCTAACTTAGACGGCCTTTGGCAAAAAACACACAGTTTTGAATAGCTTCAAACGGTGATTCCAAATATGCTATTTCTAGCTGCCACGCACCATTCCGAAGCGAGTTATGGGCTTTTTCTTGCGCAAAACTGGCATGCTCACTTGACTCACGGGCATCACGTCATCATCATTTAAGTGCCTAATTCACCTGCGTTAAGCTTTTTTATGAGAAAAGATTGGATTTGCACCATTTTGATACGTCAGCCCCTTTTTTGCAGATTTTTATCTACAGGCAGTCTTATCATGTTCGGTAGTATGCCCTCTCCTCAATTTCTTGCTCTTGCGACAGCGCACGTATGCAGCGCAAACCACTAACGCTGCACGCGCAAATTCAGCCGAAGGTTCGTCCTGATCTCGATTGGGACTGTATCTTCCTTGCCAAAAGGTCGAAAGTTGGGTAGCTTTCCTTTTAAGAAGCTAGGAGGTGTTTTTTAATGATTAGAAATTCATGTGGGCCTATAATATTGGAAAGCCTTTAAGCCTTTTTGCAAGCGTCGATTATGTTTTGTCGAACAGGTTGTTGGGTGGTCGTTAATACTTTATTCGTCAATACTAATATCTTCGGCCTTACGTTTCAACGCTTTCGTCTTCATCAGGCCTGGAATGGTACAAAGCTTCATCCGCAACTTCAACCCATCAAACGTTTCCACCAGCCCCTGCTAACTCTCTGCTTTTCTCGCAATCTAGTGCTACAAAAGGCAAAAGACATACTAGGGAACTACCGCTTCGTTAGTGTTCCGTATCGGATATGATTTCGCGACGGACGGCTGAGCTACACTGAGCTGGATGTCACATAAACAATTATCATTACCTAACATAAAGCGCTAAGCGTCTGTCTGTTTGTCTGTCTGTGTGCGTATATATCTGTCTGTTACGAAATTCATGGAGCGTGTTGTAGCCAAGGTCTTGAGCTCAAATTTTGGTCATAGCACTCTATCAGCATGTAGGTAAATAGTGCAAAAGCACAAGTTGATCCGATAATTGAACCTTCAAAAACTGCGCGTCAAACGGGTCCACTCAACTTTTGGCCAACTAATGTGGGTCGGTAATTGTACTTTTTGCGAAGTTGTCGAGCTAACAAGTAAATGTGCAGACCCTACACTTAAGTCCAAAATGTGAGCAAAATTTCTATCTTCATGCAAAATCAGCACCGAGAAGGAGTGATTGGTAGACATCAGTTTCTCAAGGTTCCTTATTATTTGCGAAGATTTCTGCTCAGGAATGTAGGGAACAAAAGTAGCTGTTCTTTGAGGAAACTACCAGTTAATAACTTCAATAACTGACCGAAATTCTCTCTTAATCTTCTACGAAAAATTTTCTTTTCCCAATTTTCCGCTCCTAAATGGAGAAGCTCATGGAATGAGTAGTTGTTTACAATTCGTTCATGATGGTCAGCATCACATAGTGTGTTTCAGAGTGAACATCATGCGAGCAAGATGAAGGCATATATCTTTGATTCACCTGGTTGAGCTCCGTCAGGGCAGGCCGCTCACGCCCACGACGCACATGCGTCTCTCGCGCGCGAGTGCTCTCTGATCATTACCTAGCCTCAATTAGGTCACGAAGCCGCGCCTCTGCCGAAGCTCAGCCAGTTGAATCAATTGTAGATAGAGGAGCCAGTGCGAGCCTCTGCGAAGCAGAGGTGGAGCACTGGTAACTCACATAATGACAAAAACGGAATGAATCAACGGTTTTAGATAAGCACTGCTTTTGTTGTTCATTTCTGGACTTTTGGCAGAAATCCAGAATGATTTTAAGACAAGACTTTCCTAGCAGCGATCTCTTTTTCAAGTGTTAGAGTTGTGAATTTGATATCAAGTCATTCCCAACATGCAATTCGTGCTTGTATCTGCCAAGCGCAAAACCAAGTTTTTGCTCCATTCATTTGACAAATGCCCTTCAATGCGAATGCTGAGTGTTCTCCCTGTTTCCCCAATATAGCGTCATCATATTTTAGGAATTCAAGCTGATACACAGTTCCACTTTGGCACACGCCCATTCTACCGTGC